TTTGTGGTGAGGATGGCGAGAAGATAATCGAGCACCTTCTATATTTACACTCTGGGGGATGGTAGAAGTCGGAGGAAGGATGCTCTCAAAAATCGAGTTAAGCCACAGTTGTATAAACCAAATAGGGCCAGAAAAATTTCCCGAAGCTTTGGAGGCACTCAAAATCTCGACGGCTTCATCAAAGGTAGTATATACATGGGCTAACAAAAATTTGGCTAAACTTATTCTAGGTTGACCTATATGAAGAAGGTAGGCAAGGTCGTAGAAGTGGGAGGAAATTTGGATAGATCGAGGGCAGAAAACATGGGTACATAACCAGTACACCAAAAAAACTATGTGTTCTTCATCAGTTATAACGACCGATTCGTCATCGACAAAATGCTTCTCGAGGAAATGTCCGTAGGCCTTCGATTCCCAATCGATTTTAGACCTTAAAGAACTATCCGAGGGACATGCACCCTTAAAATATCTTTCCCCCGAAGGTTTTAAACCAGTGATAGCAGCAACCTCGAATAGAGTGGGTGAAAGAGGACCGCAAGGTAATTCCAAAGCATGTATTTCCTTATTCCATAAATGAACAGCAGATAAAAACATGGTCATATCCAAATGAGATAGGTCACATCGAGACAAGTGCAAGAAGTCGTAAATCCCCACGGCTCTCCAATGATTCCCGAATTTAGTCTTAACTCTATCGAACCATCTAATGTATAAAGGCTTTTTGGAAGGAGGGCCAGTTCGATATACTCTAGAAGTAAGAGTCAAAAAATCAACCCTAACTTGAGATTGGTGGACAAGAGCTGGGCTGTTTGGGGAAAGGTTAAGGGAAGATCCGCCATGAGAATGGATAGGGCCCCCAAAAGCAAAATTAACACCATCAGCAGTGTAAGGGATGAGTACCTGCGTCTCGGCGATTTTCCAGAAGCCTCCTCCATCGGAGGGATCGGAGCAAACTTACGGTTATTGATCTCCGGAAGGGGAGCCGTCAGCGAAGGAAGAGGTGGAGCCAAAAAATCAGAAGACTTGGATGAGGTTGTCATTATAGTAAGCTGAGGAAATCAGAAGGATAGAGGTTAAAAGGTGAGGTAGCAAAGACGAAGATAAGAGCTCAAGGAGGAAGACGAAGTTGCAAAGAGGTAAAAGTTCGCGTAAAAAACCAGAGTAAAAAACCAATAGAGAGTTTAAAAGGAAAATAGCCTAGGGGGCTGGAAACGACGGAGGTGAAAGGTAATTAATGTAGCGTGTACAGTAAGACAGCAGACTGACGCGATGGCGACATAAAGCAAAAGGAAACTTGAAAACCCTGAAAATCCTAGAACCCCAAAAACCCTAAACCCTAAGTTTTGTGGGCCTCCAACAAGCAAATGCGGGAATCATGTTGAAAGAATATAAACAGAAACTATTTATATTCTTCCAAGGGGGCATTTTGTTAGTAGGAAATCGAGATAAGCGATCGAAAAATGAAGGAAAGAAAAATCGAGAAACATGTGATTGATCGGTAAAGCGAAAAGGTGGATGAGCAACCATTCGATGTCCAATTAGAAGGGCATGGCACATAAAATCGAAAGTTAGAGTCGAAATCGGAGAAAATAATAGTCAAAAGTTTATCGTGGAACAAACCAAGAAATTAGAAGTATATGATGCTAAGGTTAAAAGGAATCAAAAGTGATCCAAAGTTCTCGATAAAATCAAAGTTTAAATCGAAAGAAAGGTTAACCCGCATAAATATCAAAATCGTGGCCAGATCATAAAGAGAAGGAGTTAAACACGTACATAGGAAACAGTTTCTAAATCGTGGCAGAGGTTGAAGATCATGGGAACGTGGGTGCAGTTTTGACACCACAGAAGAAGAAACTGGAACGCGCACGAAGAACGTGGTAGCAGTTTTGTTAACTGCTCCTAGAAGGCTTGAATGATGCCCTATAAATAGAGCGAGAGGAAGAAGGAATAAGGGAGCGGAAATTGGCGAGAGAACGAGGATTAGTAGTGAAAAAGTCTACGGAGAAACGACGAACACCATGAAGCTTCTGGCAATCTGGATTTCTATGCTCACGGAGTACCTTTATCGCTTTCTTTATTTTCCTTGGTAATTTATTTTGATGCAATTTATATTCAACAATTTTATGTTTATGTGTTTTCGATTCTTGGTCATTTCGATTCAATGCAAGTTAAGTTTCCGTATTTAAATTCCCTAGTCATTTTACATTAATGCAATTTCGATTTTCAGTCATCTAGTGCACCTTTGATTTACTGTCCTTTACATTTCCAGCAAATTCGATTTCTCGTTATTTACATTATTGCTGTTTCGATTCCCTGTTTTTTACACTTAAAGCAAATTTAAGATTTTCGTAGTTTACGTTTCTTTGCAGTCTAAGTTTCAGCACTACTTTTTGATTCCATACATTTTCTGCTTTCTTTACTTCGAGTATTCTTAATACAAAACACCAAAAATAGTACCTTTGAAATCGGATGAAATTCGATCCTCATATACATTTCGATTGAAAATTAATTTGCTAGCCTAAGCAAAAAGAACTTACGTGGTAGAATTTTGATTAGGATCAAAATATCTTAGGAGTCGAAATCGATTGAAATTCCACCAGAAACAGTTACACACTCTTTTTCTTAGTTTGCGTATAACTGAGTCTTTAAAATATCTTCCTTAAATTAAATTAATTTTACAAAATTGATTTTGGTTAACAACAATTTTCAAAAGTGGTCTATATTCAAATGTTTTGTATTTTAAAAGGAAGTTTGATGAAATATTTACGCCACATTTTCCAATTCAAGCCAAAAAAAAAAAAAATCGATGCTGTCTACAATAAACCAAACACGCATTTAGAATATTTAAAAAAAGTAAAAATTCTCACTAAAATATTTAAAAAAATGGATCATTACCTAAACACAAAGAGATATATCAAAATAAATTCACATAAGTAAATATATTTAAAGTAAAAATGAATATAAATATTAAATTATAATATGATAAAAAAATATCATATTTTTTAGTTAATTATGAGAATGTTAATAGTATTTTAACGAGTCTCTGATTAAAATAAATTATTAAAAGTTTTGCAATTTACCTTGGATAGAGATATTTATGCCTATTATTTAAACATTAATATATACGACTTTATTTTATAATAAATTTGAGTCATTACTATCTAAAGGTGACTTTAGTATTATAATTTTAATATAGTCACGTATCTTTCTTATTTTGAAATGTATATATGATCAAAGTAATTTATAAGTTGATGGTAGATTCGCATTCACCCACCAACCTTGAATAATCACTAATCATATTTTCTTCTCCATTGCTTTGCAACCAAAAAGTGAAATTCGAATCACCATTAATCAAACCCATTGTAATTTTAAAAACGCAAACCCCAACGCATTAAAACTATGGGTAAGCCCACTGGATATGAACTTTGTGTTGTGATCTTAATTGTGATGTGGTGTCTTTTCAACTGTTCCAAACATTCATGTAACACCTAAGTTAATCATTGATTTTGAGTAAATATTTAAATTGAACTTTAAAATTATATATTTTAATTTTTATAATTATTAATTTTATAAAAAATTGTATATTTTAAGTGAAGTAATAGTAGAAATAAAATACAAAGCTAAAGTGATTTATTTCCTATAAAAACGGAGTGTAATAGGGATTTTTTTTCATTATAGAGATTAAAATTTTCCAACTTGCATAATTTCAAGGTTTAAGTCAAGGGTTTATTTAATTTATTTTAGAAAAAAAAACTAAGGGTTTTCATAATTATTTAGTAAATAAATTAATCATTAAAAATGAAATAAATACGTATATAATAAATTATGTGAATTAGACTTTAATATCTATTAAACTTTCATGATAATATTTACTTAACTTTATATTTAGAAAAAAATGTCATTTTTTTAGAGAAATATTTCGTATTCAGCGTTTAATTATGTGTCAGACAATATTTTAAGAGGAAAACATTAAAAATATATATATAATAATCATCCTAAAAAAAAGTCGCAGTTTTATATTGTACAATTCCATGTAATGATGATATTGAAATTTTGATGGATCAGCCGTTCAAGCCATGTTATCAGCCACGTGTTAGGCTGAACTTTCTGATCATATGATGTTGATTTGATGCTGAAAAACCGACTGTAGTAGAATGTTTCTTTCCAGTGGGCCCTATTAGAACGTGAAACGACGCCGTAGTACCGCTCCAAACCACTGATGTTGTGGAAACCGACAACTTAGAATGATAAACAAAAAACAACGTAAGCTGACACGAAAGACATCGTCACCTCTCATAAATACAACCATCTTCTTCTTCATTCTTTCTCGCTCTCTCTCATTCTTAATGGTTTCAATCTTGTTCTGTTTCTTTTTTCTTTTTCTTTTTCTTTTTCTTTATCAATCTCTAACTTACTTTCACCTTCATCAGCCCAGTTTTCAATTCCAATCCCCAAATCATATTGTTCAGCACATTACTACTCATCAAGAGATTTTGCAATTTCTAAATGTTATGTGCTCCTTGCCCCCCTTCGAACATCTTCTCCAAACAGGTAAGTATGCGAAGAAATTTCAAAACTTTGTTACGGATTTTGTCAAAATCCAGAACCTTTTTCCTTATTAATTTTCTTTGCATTGGATGTATGTTTATTGCAGTAGAAATACTACCTGTTTCTATTTCTTTTCATATCGGGTGTAGGGAGTTGTAGTTCCAACCTTCTTCGTCTCAATGTTTATTTCTACTTTTATTTTGTTATCATTTTGAATGAACAGTATATGCCTTATCATCTTATCAGAAACTAATCAAACTATCATATATGATAAGGCTACTTGTACCGAAGATGATTTCTGATTAATTGATGTTGGAAAAAAGTTTAAATTGGTAATGCATGATCACTAAACTCTTCGCAGATAATGCATAAATTTTTATTTATTTATTTATTTTTGGAAGCTTAACTGCCAACATTTTTGTTTTCCATAGATATTATGAAGAATAGGTGAAGAGATGGCCACAGCAGAAGTGAGGGCTGTGTGGCAGAGAGCTGTTAACCGGTGCTTTGTTCAAGAAGACGCAAAAAGAGCCCCTAAGTTGGCTTATTGTCAATCTTCATGTGCAACATCAAAATTGTTTGATTTTGGGGCAGCCAGTGCTGCTGATGAATCCGATCATGCTGCTGTCAATGTCACCCTTTTTAACCCTAAATCTTTATTTTCCAGTGGGGCTCCTGACTCAAGATGGTGGTTGCAATTGCAACCTAACTATGGTATTCAAAAAGGGTTAACATGTGAACACTTAAATGAATTAGAGAATGAAATTGAAATTGCGAAAGCTAGAAATGAAGATAGAAAAAGTAAAGATGCTTGTTGCTTTGGTGATGTGAACCATGAGTACATTTATTCCATGGAAAGTATGCTAGAGGCATATAGTGAAAGTTCTCAAGCAAATTCTCAACTAGTGGATATGATGGCTAAACATGAGACGATGGATATCGATTCTGTATGCTGTTCATTGTCCAAGCGAACAAATGACTCCTCCTTGGATTCTGAGTATTCATGGATTGGAGTTGAGAAAGCAGAGCCGTGGTGGCAAACTAGAGATAGAGATGAGTTGGCTTCCTTTGTTTCGCACAAATCACTCAACCATATAGAGAATTGTGACCTTCCACCTCCTCAAAAGTATCTCACAGGACAACCATGTCCTGATATCGGTAATATCAACATAAGAAGAACATCATCTTTGGACAGGGAAGCATTTTCCAATTTCAATGTTCAAGCAAAGGAAAGTGTAGAATCAGGATTGATGCATAGGATGTTGGGGCCTTCAACCAATAAACGGAATTTATATTTTGATTGTGACAAATACTCAAGGTATTCTCCTCTTCACACTTATGCTTTAACTTGGTTGCATGAGCACCTTATGTGGCTATAATTTACTCCCAAATTTTTTTTAATCAAACAAGTTAAAAATTGATAAATGGTGTGTTGTGGGAAATTGGTTCATCTCATCTTACGGTGCTATATCTTTAATTTTGAGAAAACTACAGACACCCTTGAGGTTCTTGAAAGTGATCACCAGTCATTGCTACTTGCTTTTTTATGGCTCACAGCAACTCCCTTATAGTTGTATATGGTGTAATATATTTCTTGGATAACAAGAGATCTTAGAGTAATGTATTTCAAGCAATTAAGGATGTAGGAGTAAAAATGATTAGAGATTTAAGGAAACCTCAAAGGCTATAACTATATCTCTGTCTTAGTTATATTTTTTTCTGTTGTTGAGTGGATGAAACTAGTTTAGATTATGTAGATTTTATGAGTTTCATTTGGGGCATGTGATTTGGTTTTAAAACCTATTTGCTTGCACTTGCAATTTTATGGCAGTTATAGCACAATCCATGGGGGTGTCACAGAACAAGTTATTGGGGAAGACCCCCCCAGCAAAGCTCAACTTATGGAAGCATTGTGTCATTCTCAAACACGCGCGAGGCAAGCAGAGGAGAGAGCAAAACAAGCTTGTGCTGAAAAAAAACACATTATTGCACTCTTCTTTTTGCAGGCATCACAACTTTTTGCGTATAAGCAATGGTTTCAACTGTTGCAGCTAGAGAATCTTAACACTCAGCTTAAGAACAAGGATCAGCCAACTCTCTTCCCTGTGGCTCTTCCATGGATTGGTAGGAAATTTGGCAAGAGAAAGCAAAAATTAGGCAATGTCAAACAAAAAATGCTTGGCAAGCCAAAAAGTGACATTACAACATACGCCATTGCATTTGCTTTAGGATTGAGTCTTGTTGGGGCTGGCTTGCTTTTAGGATGGACTGTAGGTTGCATGTTACCTTGTTCATAGTTTTGTAGGATTTAGAGTAAAGTCTTGCTTTGCACGAAGATTCGTAAACAGAGTAAATTGACTAAATTTTAGAAAGAAACGGAAACTGTTTTATCAAATGTATCTAGTTTTCTAGAGGATATATCAAATGTCTACCAAAATTATGCGCATAAATATTTGTTTTTCTTTTCATATATCCTCTATGGAATTGCATAGTTTTAACTTATATTTTTACTGTAATTTAAACTATTTAATAACTAATTAATTTATATTTTCAATAAGTATAAAATAAAAGTATAGAAAACTAGCTAAAACCACTCTATAGAGAATTTCAAAATAAGTGTTATAAAGTCAATAATCTTATTATTTATGACGATTTATGAGTGGACAATAGTTAAAAATAAAAATAAAAATTCACTTTCAAAACGTTTCAATTTAATTCATTTTGGGATTAAAAGCCTCAAAATTAGTCTTGGACTGATAGGTAGGGTGTTGACATTGCGTATAATTGCTGAATCCGTATGTCAAGTGTTTTAGGTACGCAATGAATAAGAGGTGATAATAGTTTAAATGTTTGCAAAAAGTCAATAATAGGTATTTAAAGTATGTTATAGTATCGTGCTTCTAGATGTGGAGAATAGACTGTGAAGAATAATTACTCCACCTAGCTTATCTGTTGAAATAACTTGTTCTTGGTGACAATATTTCTTCCACTATGAATTCACCATTTGAATCATTCATCTCATGGTCCATTCTTTGAATTTCATTACGATGAAAATGGTTTTCACACCCAAAATAAATAAATGCTGCACAATGTAGTCCTAAAATCATTTTTTTTTTCAAACAGGTGAAGTTGTATCTCAGAAACTTTCATTCAAAAATTATGTTAATTATCCATATCGAACATTGATTATAATTAAATAACAATAAAAACAACATCTAATCATGGACCAACTTAGATTAGTCGCTTTCCTACTCAAACGGACTTATATACGCTCCAAACAAGACCAAATAAGAAGTTTCAAAACCAACGTTGTTTTGACTTATTTAAAGTACTTTTTTTCAAACGGTACTTACAGCTAACAAATTACGTATTTGTTGTTATATTAACCATGGAGTTTTTCATCAAAAAACTAATACTTTAGAAGAGTCAGTTCTTTAAACAACAAAATTGAAATTAAACGTTGTGAAGGACAATGAATATGAATAAGGTTGGCACCATCGTCGTTTAGTAGATACCTCACATGCCAGATTCCATTAAGATACCATATGATGATGAAGGTTGGAAAATTTGTACATCTTATCCTATGAGGCTATGGTAATAATATAACATAAAGTTTGAGCGACAATGAACATAAAACAAGTTGTGAATGCCACCTATGACTCTGATTTCATAAATACAAGAGAAAGGTAAAATGGCTTAAAAACAGTAGATGTGACAGTGAATGGCATCCAAGATAAACGATCTTGACCTGAGCATGGTACTACCTGACCAAAGGTCCCAAAACTTTAAGGCCACCCACACCCGTATTTCTTTAGTTTTTTACCGCTCCATGGAACCACCCGCTTCAACCCCTCATACATCGTTGTCTGCAAATATCAGCATTAGGGACCATGTTAACTTTATCATGGAAACAGACAATTTTATGTCACAGATCAACCCTTCATGCACCCTCCACCCCAAATTTCAACCTATGTTAAGTAGAATGATTACTGAATACCCTCGATTTTCAGACTATACAGGGGTTTTAAGCATTATAATAAGGACAAGTTATGCTCATACCTTTGTGATTTTTTTAATTCACATAAATACTCTTATTGTATATTGTATACGAAAACTACAGTAGTATCCTGTGAAAGATGTTAGTAGTGTGATATTATTCCAACTGCATATTGATGTTTGGTGGATCAATGATCACACACAGACAGATTAAATGACTATCTTGGATATACTAAACTTAAAGACTTTAATATGAGCCAAAAAGAATTTTGTATACAGTAAAAAATAGTGACTATAGTTCACTGAAATCCCTCGTTCTCAGAGTCATATTCTCCTGACCTAACCAGTATGAATCTCCACTACAGAACCCGGTCTAAATAGCGACTCCAGATATAAAATTGCTACATGCTTTATACATTATAAAAAGTTTTGGTAAAGTAAAATTTCAAGCAGAGAAATCTAAGCAATAAGCACAACCAAATTAAAGCAAAGGAAACAATGTATAAACTGTGTTAAAAGTTCAAAACTTACCCAGACACTGGACTTGGTATAGAAAGGGTTAGTAAAGCTCCCAGAACGGTTCCTTTTTCTCATATTCCTCACTTTCTTGTGAGTAGTGCCTTCAATGGTGCCAACATTATCAGGATCCTTGTCAACAGACGATGGAAAGACGTGACTACCACCACTTGCTTCTCTTTTCAAGGTCTTTTCCCTCCAAGAACCAAACCACCCTTTCTGCTTCTCCTTGATCCCCACTCCTTGGTTGAGAACCATGGTCCCAAGCTGCCCTCTTTCAGCACCAAAAGAACCATAGCAATCTTCACTGATTCTGAAAGATAGGGAGTGGCAACTGCTGGTTGCCACATAAGGGTATGGTCCCTCTAAAACTGTGGTGGGTGAGGAGAGTTTATTGTTGTTGCTGTTGAGTTGTGAATCAGCTAGCAACCTTGGTGGTAGTTCCAAGCACTTTGGAGTGGGATTGGAGAAGCTCACAAGGGCAGTGCAAGGCCTTGGCTTCCCTGGCTCTTCTTCCCAACCAAATGGGACTGACGCTGAGGTGAAAAGTGGAGGCGTTTTCATCCCTGATCTCTCCGGAGAATGCATTGTCGGAGGGTTCAACAAGGGTAGCCTTGGAATCTTGCACTCATCTGACTCAATCTCTCCTTCACAACCACCCATCACTACTCTCTCTCTCTCTCTCTCTTTCTCTCTTTCTCCCTCCTCTTCTCCCTCTAACTCACTCGCTACACACACCCTTTGTGTTAGAACTATATACGTCTTACTTAGCTTTTGACTATGCTTTTCATGTTTTGATGACATAAAAGAAGAAAAAGACAATAATACAATGTGGAAGAAATCAAGTGAAGCTCTTCAGCCGAAAAGGTTGGCTCTTTCGGTCATATTGGCCTTTATGTAAGCCAAATTAAGCTCCCAATGGGGTCTCCTTCATCCCTACGTGTACTTTGTGAAATAATGTGCATAGATTAGGGACTAATTTCTTCACACGCTAACGTTTCCTGGATAATGAAAATGAATTTCTTCCATTCAATATTTTTTTTTACTTTGTAATCATCTCATCATTGTTTTACTTTTGCAAAGTCTTCAAGTGGTTTGATTATCAAATCAAATCAATTAGTTGGTGTCAAACTAGAAACTCGAGCATTTGTTGAACAACTTACGTGGCCTAGGCTAGGACTTTAGGGGAAAAATATATGGACATGGTTTAAGTGTCAAAATGTATTTGTTACAGAAATAAAAAGCAGTCAAATCTGGCTCAGGGTTTAGTGTATGAGCTCACGTCAGGCTCAATTCAAGTCTACTGTCATGATAATAAAACTCTGGCTTATTGAAAAAATCTGGCTCAGGGTTTGTCAAATTTATTTTTCAAACTTTGATGCACCAGAATATGAAGGACTGGTCTCTTTTAATAGACACAATATCAGTTGGTTTAATATATAAATGTCCTTAATACGACAAAAAATCTTTGCTTGAAAATTGAAATGGAAAATTTCCTGATTCAACTCTTGATCCAACTATTAAAAATAAAAAGAGTAAAAAATAACCCAAAAAACGTTAGAGTTTTGTATGGCAGTATAACAAGGGAAAAAACGAACATCCACAACCCAAAAATTGATAACCAAGTTAAAAACATAAACAAAGAAAAGAAGAAGCATACATACTTGTTCTATGTGACCCTGAAGGAAGTAGAACACTTTGTCCTCAATACAAGGAACATCCACTAATGGACCTGCACGCAACTTCCATTACTTCTCTGTTCAAATCTGCAAGAATAACATAGATAGTCCCTACATGGCCTCTGAGAAAGTTCACAACTTCTCTCCACCCCACTTTTCCCCCATTCTCAAAAGGGAAAATGGTTACTCATTCACCCCTCAAATTTCATTTTTCTTTTATGTGACAAATTTTCTCTGTGATCAAACAGGTAATCCAACACTAAATTCTAACCACAACAAACTCATTAATGTACCATTTTCTAATTGAGAAATACCACTTCCAGGTCCTCCAAATATACACTCCAGATGTGCCCTTCAAAACAACACCAAATGCACACAACAAAAGACAGCCAACACAGCTGAAACCTCTCTCACCACACAGTTCACAATGCACACATACTTGGTCCCAATCATACTCCTTCTCTACTTCTCACCACCCCACCTTTATGGTTAGATACGTCTTTCTTTGGATTATTGTATTGTTGATGCTGCAATTGATTCTAAAAATAAAACAATCATATTTAAAAAAAAAAATCTATTTTATCCTCATAAAAGTTATAAAAACTTTATCTTCACTTAGAATATTAACTATAATATTTAAAATAATTATTGAAAATTTTGTGTAACTCCCTGTATTTTGTGCAAATTATCTCTAACCATTCTGACAACTTTCATTGATTTTTTTTAATAATTTTGCTGCTTAAATTTGATATATATTCCATAAATAATATCTCAAGAATTTTGCAAAAGATAGTATAAATCGACAATATAAGTTCACTTAGTATATTATGATACTGATACTATCTAATTCTTTTAAGATTTTTAAATATAATTCTAGATAAAAGAACTACAACTTCCTTAAAAAGACAATTTCTGAATTTATTTGACGATGAAATACATATATTGTGGTCTGTTTAATAATTATACTTATTTAATAATGAATTATATATATATATATATATATATATATATATATATATATATAATCTTATAAGAAAATTCATTGATAAATATTTATTATTTTTTAAAATAAATTATATTTCATTCTATTTGATAAATAATAAATAATATCATTTAACATTTATATAAATACATACAATTAATATTGCCATATTATAAATTAAAATTTTCATTCTTAAAAAAAATTATAAAGTTATTATCCTTCTTTTATAGTTATATTTTTTTCCGTATGTTTAGAAAGTTAGAAAGTAGTATGAAAGTATCATCTTATCGTAATAATAGATAACATATAAAAAAATTATATGATATTTCTCTCTCTTTTTTATATCTGACATCTACATATGTTTATGTTTTCTATTTTATTTTCATTGTTTTATAAATAAATTATTTTTATAGTATATTCAAAATAAAGAAAACGTGTATTATTAATATTTATAGTTAAATATAATTCATGAGATACTGTACAATGTATCCAGATACCTATAAGACAATTTTTTTAAGGATAACTGACTTAACACGCTAAAGTATGATATTTTGAAACATTTATACTTTATGTATTTTATTTATTTAATTTAATTAATAAAACTATCTAATATTTTTTTAGCAATAAATTTTCAGAAAAAAATAAAAACGAAAGTTTACACTTCGTTGTTTCTGTTATAAAGTTAGCCTTTTCTTTCTTTTTCTTTTTTTTGTACAAGCATGTTATGCAGACGCTGGGTATAGTAACTTCATACTCTGGGCCGAGATATAATGGGCTTTGACATAAGTAGGCCCAAAAGAAACAACGAAGAGCCATGAATGGGCCCATTGGGGGCTTGAATTGACGCACAACTATATTCGTATTGGATTGACGTTGAGTTTTTTTTCTTTTTCATGTTACTAGAATTCTTTGATCTATTGGATAATATAAAGTAATTTTTCTTGCAATCATACAATTATTACTGATATATGATCCTCAAACATAAATTTTTCTATTAAATAGATTGTCTTAATGATATGTGATCATAGAATATGTCAACATATCACTACCCAATTCAAAACTGCATGTGCCAGGCTTGTATCTACAGTGTCCATAAAGCAATGAAAGAAGAGGAACGGGGTAGAAGCTAGCACAATATCACATGCCATGTTTAAACTTCAACATGGTATCGACCCTCTTGAATGCACTCCACATAAGGGTCTCGAATCCAACCAATACTTTCTCACGTGTGAAAAATATTGTGACCCCACTTTTTGTTCTCAAAATGACTCATAAGGTCGTACATGTACCAAACAAAAACACTTAACTTGTGCTTGTCTCGTACACCACCACTTGTTCCCACTACTGTGTCTCCTTCGTTCACTTCCAAACCTACTCTTCACGTCCTCTGACAATGAATTCTAGCACATTTTCTCTCACGGAACCAGCATGGTTTTTGGACCTTTCTCTCTCCTTGGTAAAAATGTCATTCAGTTCCAGAAGCAGTTGAAAATGCTCAGTTTTTACCACTCTGCTCAGATTCTATATGTTTCTGCCTCAATTCCAATAAACCACTTTGCTCAGCTTTTTTCTGTTTCTGTGTCAACTCCGTAAACCACTCTACTACTGCTCAGTTTTATCCGTTTCAGTCAAACCACATCCCCGTTTTCCATTGCTTGTGTCCTGTCTGTATTCTACAACGTGGAACTGTTCAAAGTAGTTAATCATTTGGATGCATAAATTAAGTAGTCAACAAATATCTGAATACTTTAGAATACGTCAATACTCTACTAAGATGGTCTGCAATACACAGTGGACAGATATAATAATGTTGTCTCTTAAAGATGTGTTTAAGAGTTGGGTTTTTAATGTTGTAATTATAGTGTTGTATTATTATTCTTTCATACCATGGAAGAAAAAATGCCCCAATTAACATGGATTAGGCACATTATATGGATTTTGACCTAGTGCTGAGATATTAGACTTACCTGTTTATCACTATTTGAGAAGCTCAGTTTAAAGGGCATGGAGACAAATTAAAAGGGCTTGTACGGTCCTTTTTGTAGACGGAAAACTTGTCGTTAGTGAGTACCCATTAGGGACTAGAAAAGTAATTCTCAGAAATAAAATAAAGTCACCACAGAACACATGCAGCATCTTTTCACAACCAGAGCAAATTGTGCTCTTTATTTCTTTTATACCCAATCACCCCACCCAACCTCTTTCTTTTTCTCACCTTTTCTCAACGATGTTTCTTAGTCCAAAAGGTTTAGGTGCTTGATACTTCTGTGTCTTCTAAGCTTGCATGCAATTCCTTCCTGCCATTTTCGGTTCCAATGGTTAGTGTTTGATTTACTGTATAAACTTCAATAACTAACATCAAGTTGAGCTTAGTAAACCACCAAATGCTTGGATTTTAAAACGAGAATAAACACTTCACACCCAGATAGATAAGTTGAGTATATTATGCACAATAGTTTCACTATTCCAATGTTTTTAATAAGTAATTGCATTAATTGTTCCAAGGGAGAGTTTTACTGTCTTCAATGGTCTTGTTATTCTAGAACATGATTGCTATAAGTAAATGATAACTTTGATTTATAAAACAAAGAGGAAGTTGAGCTTAATAATAATGAACTGTGTAACATTTATTTGGCACATGCAGAAAATAGGTGTGCATTTATAGTTGAAGTTTGAAGGAAAGACAACGTGAAAAGATGGTTGAAAATTGACAAGTTAGGACCCCGAAACGTTTGTGGTGAAAGAGAAATCTCTTCTTAATAGTTAAAGTATGGATGGAATCATCAAATCGTGGTTCAGAACAAGTTTATATTTGCATACACCTTAGTTTGGTTTCGAACTAACAGTTACTGCCGTGTGAGTTTTGCTTCTTTAAAGATTTCATGTCTTATGGTATATTTAGGAGTTAGCCGTTGTCAAGGAGTAATTTATATATATATATATATATATATATATATATATATATATATATATATATATATATATATATTTAATTAATTTTGAAAAAGGAAAAATAAAGTTAGAGCTTTTTTTTCAATTTTGAAAAAGGAGAAGTGAAGATAGAGTTTTAAGATGAAAGATAATTTATATAAAAAAAAATCAATTTTAAGAAAGAAAAGTAAAATTAGAGTTTTGCAAGAATTTACTTATATTTTCACTTACATATTGTCTAGAGAAAGGTATCAAAATAAGAGAAATTTGAAGAGTTTTAAGAGAATGTTGAATAATGTGATATACCTGGGTATAGTAGATAAAAGTGTTTTTATCATCAATAGGTTAAATAGATGCATAAGAGAATAATATTATATAAATTAGTTTTAATTTTGACTCTTAAATAATACTTTATTCAAGCATATTATATATTATTTGTGGGTAAAATTTGTTTTTAGTTTAAATTAATTTTAGATAATATTTCATTGAAATTTTTAAAGATATTTTTTATATAAAAAATAATTTTGTATTCAATCAATATTTTTAAGTATTTAAAAAAATCTCATCGTATTTAATTAAAACTCTCGTAATTTTCTTAAAGGACAATAAAAATTAGTAATATTCAATTGAGATTTTATTCATTGAATTTTTATAAATTTTGTGTGTCTTTTTAATTCTATGGATATATTACTTTTATGAAATAATCTCACGTAAATATGTGAGTTCTATTCTTTTTTTTTCTTTCTTTAACTTTCACTTAGATCTTTTATAAAATTTTGTATTTACAAATAACTATTGTTAGTTTTTATAAAATATGAATTTTTATTTTTAGTTTCCATAAAAAAAAATCGTCGATCTCAAATGTCAAATTACTATTTTATTATCAAATATAGATAAATAACATTTATTTTATGAATTATAAAAGTTTTTTTTAAGATGTAACATGTGAATATTTTATTATAAAGAGTTTTTTATTGAGATGTATTTATTAGTTGTTTAAATTAACTTTTTTATTAATATTAATAAGTTATTTACAACTTTTTTATAATTATAAAAAATAAATGAAGAATTAATTTTTTTTAATTTATTAAAAAGATAATTAAGTAAAATTAATATAAACTACTTAAAAATAATATAAAATCATAAATTTATATTTTATATATTTTTTTAATATAAAAACAACATCGTTATTAAAAATGCTGTTAAGAGATTGACTTTCTATTTGAGACAAAACAGTTAAACAGTACAGATGAACTAAAAACAAATAAAAAAAGATTTACGTCATGTTATAGGGATTAAAATAAATGCTATTCTAATAATTATTTATAATTAATCAATCATGTAATAATTTACATGAACAATATACCTATAAAATTAAAAAAAAATTGTTTGAACGATTTTTCGCATAGACATTTTTAAACTAAATTTAGTTTAATACATAGGTTTAAATTAATTTATACATAAAATTTGAAAAAACTACATTGACTTTTCTAAACTTTATTATAAAATTATATACATAAATTAATTTGAATTTTAATTAAAATAATATTTCACTGTTTTTTTTTCTTCCATAGAAATGGTGCAAACAAATCCTAAATTCATTATAAAGAAGTGAAAAACTAAAATCATAGTTTTGAAAATATAAAAAGTAAACGAAATATTAAAAGAAAAAATAAAAAGATGAAAAACACAATTTTTGTGTTGATTTCTTTAATGCAGCAAACATGCATAGACATTAGTGGGAAGTTTGACAGTTGAAAGGTGCGTGAGTGGGGAGGGGAGTTAGAAATCTCTAAAAATATAAAGATTGAGAAGTTGTTTTTAGAAGGTTGGGAAATGCAGAATCATTATTTGTTTTCAATGTGGTCCTCTCAACCCTCACCACCATTATTTGTTTTCTTCTTCCCAAAGACGTGGATGTTTTGGCATTGGCTGCAACCATTTCTTCATAGAATCTTGGAAGAAACCTTCATTATTAGCCTTCTTCCATTATATATTGCATGGTCCCTGTCTCTCTTTCGGGCCCCTACTACTCAACACACCATCATCTTTGTCAACACATGTTTTGTGATGAAAAATGTCCCTTTCCTTTGGGGGTGTAATGAAAAATTGATGAAAAATTAAAACTCTTAGAAACGAGTGAGGATCTTGGAAAAACTTTAAAGTAATAAAATGTCATGTTAACTAATATACGATAATATTATAATATATAAATAATTATAATTTTTATCTTATTAAATTGATTTAATTAAGTATTTTACAATTTTTAATATAATATAAAAAATAAGAGAAGGTGATAGAATCATATATTCATTTTACTAAATAAATTTTGTAAGGTTGAATGGGTTAAAAATTTGAAGTATAAATCTAAATCTCACAATGAATAAAAATGAGTAAATTAAATAAAAGAAAAAGACTCATAAAATTAATGTCTTAAGATTTTTTTGTTAAATATGGTATTAATAGCTTAAATAGGTTAAATTCATGTCTAATTGATTTTTTTTTATGATTCCCTCAAAATATCCGTCTACTTGAGTTGAAAGTCGTCTTGATGACTAGATCTATTTAATAGTGACTTAAACAAGTGATATAAGAAATGATAATTAATGAACTAAAGATGATAAATTAATACAAAGAAACTTACATTTAAGAGTGTAAAATCGTTAAAAAGTCCAAATTTTACTTATGTTTTATTATTTCTCGTTGGAACACTAGATAATATTTCACTCCTAATATTTAAGATCATTATTATTATTAAAAACACTTTTATCATTATTATATTTGTTTTTTTATTAGATGAAATGATTCATATATCATGTTGAATGGGTTACATTGTTAAGTTTATTTAACCATCCAATTAACGGTCAAATGGTAAATTGGGCTGGGTTGACATGTGATTAATTATTTTTTAAAACTGAATTAAAGATTATTATGTTAAGTAATGCATTATAGTTTATAAACTTCGTTTTATTTAGAATTGTGAAGTTGGTGAAGATAAATATTTATAATGATTAAAATTAAAACAAAAAAGCTTCAAGTTTAGTTTGTGAACATCTTACGTGTACACTATTAAGTTTTTTTTTTTCATTCACTCATTTATATTTAGAGAAAAATAAACGAAAACATTTACTAAAAAATTTATAATATTTATTTTTAATGAATTTATGGTGGATCAATTTATCCATTCCTAATTAATCGG